CCTATCGACTATGGGTATGGTGGTCTGACAGAACACCACCTCCCCCCCCCCAATCAGAGCAGCAGGTGTTTTGGAGGATTGTTTCTGCTGTATTTGCACATCTGAAGACCGGACTATTTCAACATGCGGAAAAGAAAAAAGGCTGAAGCTTAGACAGAAGGAGATGATCTGTTTTTAAGAATCACCAGAGATTTTAATTTGGGTTTAGGTCTCAGCAGCTGAACTTTGCTTTGGGTTCTTTTCCAGTAAAAGATCAACCTCTGCTTCCTTCTCTAGTAATGTCACTGCTGCCCCCTTGAGGGCACCTCTGAGTGTTTTAAAAAAGGCCTTAAACATTTCTTTTTTGCAAAACTTTTGGTCCCCCTTAGAAGTTTCTTTTTTCTCTTTTAAAACAGCTTTTATTATTTTATTTCTTTCATCTCTATGTTTTTCTTTTTTAATGCTTTTTTAAATGCTTTTTTGTAGAACTTTGAGGCCTTTTTGGTGAAAAGTGCATTATAAATTAAATTAATTATTATTATTATGTCAGACTCTACGCGTGTTCGTTCAGGATTTTCCTTAATTTAGCTAAAATGATCTTGATACAAATTCTTTTTTTAGCTTCCGTGTTCCAGCTGAAGCTGTCTTTTGTTTACTTGTGCGAGGTTTATTGATATCTCAAACTGTATCCTGTAAGGGTGTAAATAATAATCGTTTCCTATCGATCCAACAGCCGATTATCCAATGCATCCACACGTCTGCAAGAGAATTGATTCCTGTTTTTTTTCTTCCTCCGGTCTATTTTTATCCATTTGCTCCTGGGCGTCAACGGAGGGACATGAGGCTCCCAGCGTTCTCGCGCACCGCGCTCTGCTAGCGGGTCAAACTTCATGAGTTGTTTTCCACAATTTCGTTCATAAAAACAAACCAAGCCGGCCTCCTGTCTGCGGCACTGTCTGCGGTCATGACCTTCTTATGACCTCACTATATGGCAACTCCACTCGGACAAACTGTGTTGCACCTGTTTCTTATCTGCGATGCCTACTAAGATGACCTAGCTTCAAAGCATAAATCAACCTTAACACTACAGATGCTCCCGACTCGGCACATGGACGCTGAGCGATGTTATTACCGTTGTCTGGGCAACCACAATGTTTTACATCATGTGGCAACGTACAGTGATGGGCAGTAGCGCCGCTACATGTAGCGAAGCTATTAGTTTAACTACATTTTCCAGTAGCTTGA